TACCGCATGTGACTGTGTATCTGGATGATATTCTGATCACAGGCACCGATGACCAGTCTCATCTCGCTACGCTATCAACTGTTCTGGCTCGCTTAGAACAAGCTGGCCTTCGCCTCAAGTTGAGCAAGTGCACATTCATGGCTCCTTCCGTTGTGTACTTGGGCCATACTATCGACGCTCAAGGTCTGCACCCAACCGCAGATAAAGTCAACGCTATCCGCAACGCACCAGCACCGACAAATGTGACTGAACTGAGAGCATACCTTGGACTGCTTATCTACTATGGTAAGTTCTTGCCTCAGCTTTCAACAACGCTCGCTGCCTTGTATCGCCTCTTCCTGGGCAAGATGTTTCTCATCATAGTGGACTCGCATTCGAAGTGGATGGAAGTCTTCCCACTGAACAATGCCACAACACACGCGACCATCGAGAAACTTAGGCAAGCCTTTGCCACTCATGGGTTGCCAGACAAAGTTGTGTCTGACAATGGCACACCATTCACTAGCGCAGAGTTTCGCGAATTCATGACCAAGAATGGTATCCTGCATATTCGCACCTCGCCATATCACCCAGCCTCAAACGGATTAGCTGAGCGTGCAGTCCGTACCTTCCAGCACGCTATGAAGCGAATGGACACAGGGACAGTTGAAACTAAGGTTGCAAGATTCCTGTTTCACTACAGAACTACTCCGCACACTTCAACAGGTCTGTCTCCCGTGGAAATGCTGATGGGTCGACGCTTACGCTCCCACCTTGATCAGCTTCGCCCTGACGTAGTGCAGCGTGTCATCAAACAACAGGAAAAACAGAAAACATCATCACGACAAGCACGCCAAGACACGTGTGTTTGAGATTGGTGACACAGTCCTAGTTCGCAACTTCACTAAGACTGGCTACTCATGGCTACCAGGCACCATCGCAGGCTATGCTGGTCCAGTCTCCTACAAAATCCGTCTAGTTCACAATGGTTGCGAGATCAAACGACATGTGAATCATCTTCGCAAACAAGACAGCGTACCATATGAACTGCATCACGAGTCGCACAACCCAGACGACGACATTGACTTTGGGTCTGCTATCGCCATCCCACTTCAAGAACAACCTCCCGTGGAAAATATCATCCCTCCAGCAACCAACGACCAGCCAGAACCACAAGCACCGGCCGAACCAGAACCACAAGCACCGGCCGAACCTGAACTGCAACCTGTTCCACCAGCTGACAGGAAATACCCAGCTCGCATCAGGAATGCACCTGACCGCTATGGATTCAAAAACACTCAATCTGCATGTTCACATAGGTTAAGTACAGCTGCACACATCTGAGGCAGAATAATCCTCAGTGCAGTTGGTTGCGAGTCAGGGTAGTCCACCCCTGTACTTACTTAAAAGTTTATCATGTTTGTTATTTGTTGTAAGTTGCAAAAGTTTTTAAAAACACATAACAGTTTTCGATTCGGCCTGGATAAAGTGATTTCTATAACAATCAGCTGTGTTAAAGATTTTGAAATTGATCCATAACTTGCTTTGCATAAGTTAAAGCTTTAATCGGACAGGTTTCATTATAGGGAGGAGGAGTGTAATATTCCGCCAATCGACATGGTTGGCTACTCTACTAACTGTTATTTTGTACTGTCATGACCCCTGACCCGCGTACAGAACTCTGTTACATTCACACACGCGGTGTATACATTTTCTCTCTGTACACGTACAGTACGTACGTGCATTGCTGTAGTTGTGTAGTATGTATTGTATGGTGGCCCTGAAGGGACATCGCATATCGCAAACGTGTGCGCATACGTATGCGATGTCGCGAAATTTATCGCGAATGTGTGCGCACACGTATGCGATGTCGCAAAATTTATCGCGAATATGTGCGCACACGTATGCGATGTCGCGAAATTTATCGCGAATATATGCGCACACGTATGCGATGTCGTGAAATTAATCGCGAATATGTGCGCACACGTATGCGATGTCGTGAAACAATTCGCGAATATGTGCGCACACGTATGCGAATTTGTTTGCAATGTCGTGAATTTTATTGCATACCTTGTCGCATACCTTTCAGTAAAATTCCTAATGAACAGGGGAGTTGTAGCAGCTAGTCTGGAATCTAGACGTACTGTTAGATATAAATAGGGTCTGACTAATAGACCTTCGCGCGCACGCTGTTCCTCGTGCAATCGTTACTACTTGTACTGTCGAGCGCAAACGTGCTACTTGCGCAACTTTGAAATTTGCGCGCGCAAGTTTGAAACTTGCTACTTGCGCAACTTTGAAATTTGCGCGCGCAAGTTTCAAACTTGCGCGCGCAAATTTCAAAGTTGCGCAAGTAGCGAGCTTGCGCTCGACAGTACTAGTAGTAACGATTGCACGAGGAACAGCGTGCGCGCGAAGGTTTATTAGTCAGACCCTATTTATATCTAACAGTACGTCTAGATTCCAGACTAGCTGCTACAACTCCCCAGTTCATTAGGAATTTTACTGAAAGGTATGCGACAAGGTATGCAATAAAATTCACGACATTGCAAACAAATTCGCATACGTGTGCGCACATATTGGCGAATTGTTTCACGACATCGCATACGTGTGCGCACATATTCGCGATTAATTTCACGACATCACATACGTGTGCGCATATATTCGCGATAAATTTCGCGACATCGCATACGTGTGCGCACATATTCGCGATAAATTTTGCGACATCGCATACGTATGCGCACACATTCGCGATAAATTTCGCGACATCGCATACGTATGCGCACACGTTTGCGATATGCGATGTCCCTTCAGGGCCACCATAGTATTGCAGTGTTGAATAAATAGTGCTCTCCAGTGCCGAGCCAAGAAATCGAGAATAAACCAGGTTATCACAGTTCATTACAACATGTATGCTCGGTACGTTTACACTCTGTTCAGCTCCAATTTGTAAGCCTAGTAGCTGGAGATCCAGACTGTCTATAAATCACAAAAACAGTTGGACATTTTTATTTCTTTATTCTTCAGGCAATACTTCATTTCAGGAAGCAGATTTACTTTACCGTCCGTGCATATTAATAATTTCCTAGATTGTTGCCAGAACTCTTTGTACATGATTTAATTTCATTTTCTATGGTTTCTATATAGTTTAGGTTTTTATGAAATACGAACGTATTGGTAGTAATGCACATGCCTAAGCAAAGATAATTGAATTAGGAGGTGACCGGCATCATGAGCGGGTTTAACTAATCAAAGTACCCATACCGGCGCAGACCGTGATTCAACCCACGGTTCAGCCCGGCGCGATTCACGACCTTCAATTTGGCCAGTAATTTGGCGGATAGATACCCCAAAGCGCACAGTTTCTAAAGCAAATTTTATTTTAATTCTTTTTGCCCCCCCCCCCCCCCCAAAAAAACCCACTTTGACCAGAAAGTACTGCCTATGACAATTTTAGAGGCTTCTCTAATAAGAAAAAGCGACAATAATCCTGGAGAAAATAAGAGAAAGTAACCTCGCATGTTTAATCCGTTAAGTAACCCGCATTTGTATATTCCATGGACCAATTTCGCTTCTTGCCTCAAAAGCAAGTTGCGCAAATCTTATAATTTATAAGGGAAAGCCCAATAAAGTGTTTGAAACAAAGTGCCATTTTATCAGCGTTTTAAACCACGTAAAGAACCTCGACCAATAGGGATGGGTAAACTGTCGTTTGCGTTTGCATTCATTAAACGGAGTCCGTGTAATGTATGGAATACCAGCGCCCCCCGCCTTGTTATTTTACGGAGGCCAGGTGTCCGGCGCGGATGTGCGGTCCCCCCCCCCCCCCCCACACACACACACACAAACATCAAAAGCTGAAAACGCTGCTGGTTCGAAGGACAGTTGGGTCAGGGAACCAGACTATCGACCGAATTGAATATGATACTGTAGTGATTAGAAATAATTTATTTACTTTGCCCGTAATGTCAAATGAGGGCGCTGTTTAAGTTAACCGGTTAAACTTCCGCGAATTTGTTGGGGGTAATGAGGATATAGAAATAGTACGTTCATCATCATTTTTTTTTTTGGGGGGGGGGGCCTATGGCCCCCTTTGGCCCCCCCCCCGATCCTCCCTTGTATGCACGGTGCTCTTCCTTTTTAATATTCTTCTGATATCTATGCAATTAGCAGGCGCCTTCTATACGCAAGTAATTCGAGCTTCCCGCATGTTTAAACATCACACCTGCGAGGAATGCCCGTTCTGACAACTGATGCAGAAAATAGCATCCGGGGTTTTTCCAAGTTTCTAAAACGGGTACGCGTATGCTTTTTGCAAACAAGTATTTGACATTTTGAGCTTCAGACGTTTTGAAACCGGTACTATCGTAACATTTTTACTCGTTTTGCTGGCATAGGTGAGTATGTACTTTTAAAATGTTAACAACACAGTGTTTATTTCTTGTCCAAGGAACATCAGGTAGGGTTGGTTTCTAGAATGTTATATATCGATTGGAGCCGCCACAGTCTATATAGGCCTTACAGCTGTACTCACTCCTACCATCAATCCATAATATCATGTTTTTTAGGCAGGGGTTGAATTCGTATATAGCTATTGTCTATAAGCAGTGGCGTAGCCAAGGGGGGGGGGGGGCCTGGGGGCGACCCCCCCCCCCATGAATCCTTGTCGCCCCCCGGTCGCCCCCCCCCCCCCACTGAGATTTTGAGTTTCTAAAAAAATTATCATTGATCTACATGACGCCCCCCCCCCCATGAAATGTTCCAGCCCCCCCCCCCCCCCCCCCCCGCCCACACACACTGAAAAATTCCTGGCTACGCCACTGTCTATAAGAACGAGTTCTTGAAAAAAAATACGAAGGGAGGGCTCACTTTTAGCTTTGAAGTTTGTACTTTATCAATTTTGGCTTATTAAAGAACGATGATGCCAAGTATTGATAATAACGGTATGCATTAATTTCTGATAGATTGGTCTGCTGTAAGAACACTAATTTCGTTAATGTCCATCAATAGGTAACGGAATTTCATCATGTCAGTAGGCCTACTCGGGATCTGTTCCCTGGTGTTGGTAGGGCTGCTGGGTTCCTCAAAGCTGGGGTTTTGTGCTGCAAAATACAACGTGTGTCCCGTCGAAAATGGTGAGAAAATGTAACAATTTTGATCAAAAATTCATTGATATTTTACTGCAGGACATTGTGTGGGAGAGGACAGTAGTTAACATAATGCTCCCTAAAAACCCAGACAAAGGGGTTTTTTTTTGGGGGGGGGGTTGTTTGTTTGAGTTTTCAGGGACTTTTGCTTGTTTAAAATTTCAAATGGCAAAGGTTCATCATTTTTTACTTTAATGTTAACAATTATTGGAAACAATCAGGCACATGATTTGGCTTTTTGCAAAATTATCATTCCATGAGTTTTGCAAAACAACTTCGCTTTGCTATTTATAGAATTTGCCAAAGTAAATATTTTTCTTTGAATCCCGCTTTCATGATGCATACATGCGCGCAGACGGGAATTTCCACCATGCACAACGTGGCTGTGTTGTATTATGCATCAGGTACAAAGTCTGCAGCAAGTTCAAACTCAAGTACTCAATATGGTGAAATACGTGCACCTACATAATTGTGTAATGTAAACAGAGTGAATTGAACCTTGAATATAAGTCACTGAGGACAATTCGGTATAGTAAGTCTATCGCTAGATCTGTCTACGCATGCACTGTGCGCGGCGGCGAGCGAACAACTGGAATTTAAGTCTATACTGGTACTTGAACATTACCTATCAACCAGAATTGATGTTTTGGGGGTGTACGTGTCAATGTTAAACTGATCACCATATCTTCGCTGGTTTCAGCTTTTGGAAATTTCAATGGTCGGGTAAAGCAAAATAATAAAGGTTCTTTCGGACCTCTGTAATCTTAGCATTGTACTGTACACATAATTACACTGCTCGTGCTCTATTTTTTATCATTTTTAAAACAAAATTAGTTTCATTATTAGATTTTTTTTCAAATTATATCAATTTTTGAGTGTTGAAAATGCAGTCACACAGCTTCATAGGCACAGATTGTGGCAAAATAATTTTGATATACCGGTACATAATAAAGTGTCAATGAAATGATTTTTTTTCTGAAGAAAAAAACACGTTTTGTGATACTCTCTACTCTTTCTTAAATGTATGAACATTATTTGACATATCTTGTTGGTTTATCTTATTCAAAAGTGCACTTCTTTAAACATTTAAATTTTGCTTTGCTTTTTTGGACAACTGGGCGCGCTGCAGTGTTGTTGACTTGAGTCGCTGACTCGGACGTACTCGAGTCGGACTCGAGTCGCTATTTTTTGACTCGAGATTTGACTTGATTGGGAGAAAAATGACTTGGTTACAACTCTGGGGCGCTGTTGCCGTAATGTAGGGACAGACTGTTCAATATGGCGTGTCAAACGTTGCAAAATTCAATGTTTTACAATATATATGTTCGATGTTCAACGTGTGTTATCTTTTACATTTATATGTGATGTTCAGTATAAAGTGTGCGATGTTCAATGTAAGTGTGCGATGTTTTACAATATTGTGTGTGATTTTCAATATATATGTGCGATGTTTTACATTGATGTGCGATTTTCAATATAAGTGCGATGTTTTACAATATATGTGTGATATTTTCAAGTATGTATGCGATGTTTTACATTAAATGGCAAGGTTTTCGAAATAATTATGTGTGATGTTTTACAATATATTTGCGATATTCTCAAATATGTGAGAGATGTTTTAAAAATATATGTTTGATATTTTGAGCATTATATTGATGTTTAATTATTTCTGTATTTAAGATTTTATCGTATATGTATTCCATCTTTTGCAATATGCATTTGATGTTCTACTTTACATTCGATGTTTCGTTAAGAGTCGCAGTCTGGTTACCACAAAATTCTGACTATTTTGCCTAAAGTCAGTGTATGAGACGTCCAGGGATCGCGTAAGTGATTAGAGTCAGACCTAAACGGTAAAAACCGGAATTGTGGATTATCTCGGAGCATGCGGAAAGCAGTCGTCATTGTTTGGGCAGTACCGCCAGCTGCACGTGTTTGTAATTTGTAAATGGTATGAACATGGTCATGTACATGTACATGTACATCATCCATATGCCCACGTGCCATGACGATTCCAAAACCAGCATTTATTTACACATTAGTGCTAGCATGGCGCTATAAAAGCCAATCGGCGCAGTACCGGGTGCAGTTTCATCGTAATTTTCCAATGAACAGCCCACCGAGTGTTGGTTAAACAAGATAAGCAGAGTTACAGAATTTGTTGGCTGTAATAAGTAGCACTCGCGAGGGCTTCCTTGCTCTATGGAGACTGAGGATATTTTTGGCAAAAGATGTTTTCTTTTTAAAACTTTACGGACGAATATTTCTTGCAAGGAGTGCAGTATACATATATAGACTTCTTCTCAAGTTACACTCTCGGTCATTTTTATTACAAAAGGGCAAAATGTCAAAATGTCGAAGTCAAAGTGTCAAAGTGTTGTAAATTCGAGCCGGGAGGATTACGGTTGCGCCGAGAGGGGTTGAGATCTTTATACGGCCGACAAAGAAAAGAAACACAATGGGCCAACGTCTGCAAAACTTCACTAAATCGATAGATGGGTTAAGCATAGAGAAAGGACCTCTAAACTTCGATTATTACGCGCCCCGAGTTGCGAATAATTAGGTATCAAAACAGTCTCAGCCCAACCCATTTTACATCGAGCATACATCCAGGCACTTGAACACCCATTTTTCATCGCGGATAGATTTCTTGCTTTGGAATGAATTTGGTCCGTTGTTAATGACAGAAATTTTAATTGTTGTTAAATCATCTTACGAAAGGGGGAATTTTAATAAAGAATGTATAAGCGCCTTTAATGAAATTAATGAAATAGAATCTGCCCGGAGAAAATCGACACACTGGCAAGCCCAGCCCATTTAATTTAATTTAAAAACGGAGACTTTTTGCAATTCCTTCAAATCCACAGTGCAGTCGGGTCGGGAAGGGCCACGTTCTGAGGCCGAGGGCCCGGAGAGTGTCCGGACGGTGCGGGCAGGCGCGGTCCGCTGGTGGGAGCGAACGTGCCGTTCGTCGCGCCCTGCACACCGCCGAGGTCTGATGAGGCAGCCGCGGCCGATATCGGGTTCAGTTATTGGTTTTGACTGAAAAAGTTTGCAAAAATAGCAAACGGACCTGGGTTTGTACCCGAACACAGTGCTCGCTCAAAACGCACCCATTTTGCCGATAAGCACATCAGAGCCCCTTGCTCTAGGATGAAGCAATCATCATGGTGAAATTTTTCGATCGGATACGACAATTTGTACTTTAACAAAGGGTGCAACTTGAGAATAAGTCTAAATTGGTTTACTTCACTACTTGCACTGAATATCAAGTTTTAAAAAGAAAATATCTTCGGCAAAAATGTCACGCAACTTCCATCGTGTACCACATAAGCCAATGAATTACGTAACTCTATTTGTCGCCAATTAGCTTGTGTAAACAACTTATCATGTAACTGGATCATTAAACGGGACAGGTGAACACTAGTGCCTTGGAGCTTCCCACGTGTCATGCACTCCTCATGAAGACGAAGTGGCATGAATGATGCACATGGTAGTACAAGCATTCGCTCGTACCCCCGCCCTGCAAACAGGACGCTGGGATACTCTGATGAATTCACGCTCTGATTGGTTGGATTTTGCGTGACCAGTGACCTGCGCGTCATCAAGGTCATGATTCTGCAAGGTTTGAAACGGCCGTTAAGACTGATTCATTACTGTTTTATTCCAGTTTAGAGATGTTTTTTCTCGTTGAAAAGCGTAATAATGTAGGAAATTCTGTAAAACTTATCTGTGTTGTAAATTTACAATTCCCATCACTTGCTCAGGCTCCGTTTCGAATCACGAACGGTCGGAATGCATTATGCGATGCTCAAAATGTTGTCCACATGGTCCGCAACGAAACAGAAATCACATCCGGTATTTCTATAGGAAGTTTTCAGATAGCATTTGCGCACATTATCTAACTGCGGTCTTGAACAACTGCAGTCAGAATGCTTTATACACAGGTCATAGGCAACTTCCTTCACGAGATTCTGTGAAGCTCATCAGAGTATCCCAGCGTCCTGTTTGCAGGGCGGGGGGTACGAGCGAAGTACAAGCACAGCTGGGGATACTGCCCAAACAATGATGAATGCATTGCGCATGCTTACCCACAATTCCGTTTTTTTACCGTTTAGTTCTGGCTCTGATCACTTACGCGATCCCCTGACGTTTCATACATTGACTTTAGGCAAACAAGTCAGACTTTCGCGGTTTAGTAACCAGACTGTTTCTCTTAACGAAACATCAAATGTAAAGTGAAACATCAAATGCATATTGCAAGAGATATCAAACATATATTTGTAAAACATCGCTCAAATATTTGAGAATTTCGCAAATAATATGTTTGTATCGGAAAACATCACACAATTGTATCGGAAAACATCGCACATTTAATGTAAAACATCGAACATAATATTGAAAACATCGCATATAAATCGTCAAACATAGCAATATTTTGAAAATCGCACATCAATGTAAAACATCGCACACATATATTGAACATCGCACATATATTGTAAACCATCGCACACTTATATTGAACATCGCACATAAAGGTAAAAGATAACACACACATATTGAACATCCAACATAGTGTGACGTTGTCGTGCCAGCTCTCCTTCGTCAGGCTGGTTTGATAGGTAGCGTGCCGCCTCGATGGTGTCCAGTCCCCGCAGTGGTGGACCACAGCTCAAGTTATCCTCAGTGGAATATCGCCGATGGAATCCTCGGTGGAATACCGCCGGTGGAAGGTGAAAGGGGTTTGTGGAATGGGATTGCGGAAGGGGAGTAGGGAGGGGTAATCCCTGAGATTTGTAATCCTCCCAGGCCCCTTTATCTATCCTGGGACTTTGGCCCTGACATTCGATGATTATAAGTCTAATTAGCAATAATTCGAGCCAGTGGAATGAGTGGAATCGGAGTCAGGAATCACAAACAATGGTCAGGCCTTTAATCGATCCTTATCATCATCCCAATTACTTGTTCCAATTATTAAGTTATTACTTGAATCATCTCTGAATCATCTGCCTAAAACCCTGTCGTGCAGCTGCTTTTATACCCCTGAGTTCACCCGGTAGCCTATAGCCCCAATACAAATTCACTCTGCCATACAATAGTGCCTAAGTCCAACTGACCAATCAGCGATCAGGATCTGCCAATATGCAAAGTGTGGGTGACTCGATGTAATACAGTCATTATACAGACAGTGGTTGCATTGAATTTATCACATACACTTCGTGCTCCGTCACAATATATATATTGTAAAACATTGAATATGGCAACGTTTCACACGCCATAGTTCAGTTTAAGGGTTTTGTGTACAAATGTTAAGCCACATATCTGCTCATTGATAACATATATGAGAAAGGTTTGCACATTTGATTACTGCCATGTAACACAACAACGAATCACTAAAGAAAGAAAATGTTCAACAGCAAAATATCCAAAACTCTGGCAACTTTTTTAGGCACAAAACAATTGCAACTTTGAGGTTTCTGCCTGATATGCCATCACAATTTTGCTCATGAATATGGAAATTCGCATTAGTATAAATGCCAAAAAAGGACTAAATAAAGTCTGAAATTCAGTTAAATGGAACACAAAGGTGCATTTTCAAGATTTACATAGAAAACACATTTCATGGGCTCTTTATGTTCAAATGTTTCATGTAAAGTTGACATAAATTAAACGAGTTATGAATTTGTAACGATTTTTGGCTTTCAGGGACGAGTATTGAAGATGTCTTTGGCGCCTCTGGCTACATCCAAAAGAGTATTTGGCACCGAATTCCTTGTCTGACGTTCCGCCCCACGGAGAGCTTAGATGGTATTATCTGGTACAAGGGGTCCAGCGTAGACGACCCATCAAAGGTGCGTCTGATCAGCCGAGACCTGCGCGAGGGCGTCAACAAAGACTCGCCTGCCGACGAGAGGTACTCGATGTCGTCCAATCACGGACTTGTCATTAAGGGAGTCGAGGACAGGGACGAGGGGAGTTTCCTTTGCCAGGTTATTCCTCAAACTACCGATATAAGGGTTGAGAAAGTACACGTCCTAGTCATAGGTAAAAACGTAATTGTTGTTCAGATACATGTGCTGTACAAGTCAATCACATGCCATCTAATCCAAATGAATTAATTCGATTCAAATGAACTGTGGACCTAAAACTTTCCTTTACTATTGTTGATCACAGTTGTGAAGTGAATAATTCTTGTGATTTAGTGTGTAACTTAAAGTGTCAGCCTTGTTTAAAAAAATCTAAAGATCTTAGACACCTTCCCGCATTGTTCATACTCATACCAAGTTTGATTTCATGCGTTGTTTCCTCTAAACACCAAAGATGATAAAAAGAAGAACTAACACAAAATCAAAGGGGGATATACACAACTCCACATCCATTATCCGTAAACCCTATAGTCAGGGATGTTAGGGCGTTATAGGGGCTGTTTAGTTCAGATTCTTCCAAAAGCACCAAATTTGGCACATATGTCGTCCATACCATTACTATTTTGATTTTTGACGGGCGCCAACTCGGGCGCCCAACGGGGCCGCCATATAGGCAAAATCCAATATGGCCGCCAACCGGGTCAGAGGTCAATCAAACTAAACGAGCTAGAATCATAAGTAATACCACTTTCCAGGTATTTTCGGGGTCGAGCAATCTGAATCTGATGTTATTTTAATGATTTGAGGCAAGACAGATGCCCCAAGGGACCGCCATATTGGCAAAATCCAAAATGGCCACCACACACTGCAGTTAAAAAACTAAACTATCTAGAATCATGAGTAATATAACTTTGGAAGGGTTTCCGGTGTCAAAGAATCTGAATCTGAGGTTATTGTAATGATTTGATGCGAGACGGATGCCCCAGGGGGCCGCCATATTGGAAAAATCCAATATGGCTGCCAGCCAAGTTTGTAGAGGTAATAGTCACAGTTAAAATCTAAACGAGCTAGAAGCATTAATAATACCATTTTACAGGGTTTTTCAGGGTTGGAGAATCTGAATCTATTGCTTTATTAAAGATTGTAGGTCACATTTTGCCCTAAATTTCATTAAGGATTAGACTTTTCAATAAAGATGACTGTTTGAACTTTTTTTATTTAATTCTTTGGAGATGGTATCTGTAGTGACAAAATGCTATATGCCGCTGTGTGCGTTTGAATGGAGCCGTTTATTTACAATATGCACATGAACCAGTGATTGATGATATTACCACCTATACGTTCTGGCGAGCCCTCTATGATGCCCTGCCAGAAATGAGTACTCCACTTGTCATCACCACCGTCCAATTATGCACATTTCTCCATAATTTGTAGAGGACATTGCAAAGAGACCCAGTGCGGTTGCATTTCTACCTTCCCTTGCATGAAGCAGCCGCAGTGCAAGAGAATGGCGCATTGAGAGTGTGGTCCATAGTGATTGCCATGTATTGGTACCATCTTTGTGCCAGCCCCACTCCATGAAGTCAGGAATTTCCTGATGGACCGAGGTGGCCTGCAGTAACGGTTGCTTCATATGTTCAAACAGCACAGCAGGTAGCTGGTATGCTCCGACAACAATGTCGTCAAGTAGATTGATTGCTCCATCGATCCCTGTTAGCATACTGGTGACGACCTTTTGGAATGCACTTGGTGCTGAGGAGAGTCCATAGGGCATTCGGCGATATTGGAATACCCCGTCATGTGTCACAAATGCTGTGAGCTGTTTACTGTCCTCGGCGAGTGGTATTTGCAGGTAACTACGACGCATGTCGAGTTGGAGAAGACTGTGGCGCCGTGAAATTCGTTGGACAATTCATTGATGGTGGGAAGCGGGTACTTGTCTGGAATGACAGCCTTATTCACCTCTTTCAGGTCAATGAAGAGGCGAATTTCTCCATTGCGCCTCCATGCGATGACCAAGTTCGAGATCCAGGGAGAAGAGTTGATGCGCTCTATGATACCCAGTGATTTGACAGCTGGGTCAACGCGGGGGCGATGGCAGAAATGCTTGATTTCTCCGACGCCGTTGAAAATGGTGGGGTACTGCTTGTCTATGTCCAGCATGTACATGGGAGTGCCAGTAGTATCAAACACCTTGAACCGAGCTTGTCAAATAGGTCAACACCAATAAGACTTCTGTCTTTAGCGACGTGACAGGAGAAGTGAGCCAGTGTTATGTCCTTGTACTGAACTGGAACAGAAATGACCCCACGATTTTGGAATTGGAGTATGCGTGAAGGGTGGAGGTTGCTGGACGTAGCGGATGGTGTGCGAAATGCTGCTTGTATGTAGCCTCGCTCAGGATGGAATCCTTTGCCCTGAGATCAATTAGGAGGCGTGTAGGTTTGCCATCGATGACGAGTGCATAGTTCTTGAAGTTACCGGAACCAGTGTAGGAAGGGTCGCTAACTGTGCAAACCATACTGGATTCGTCACTGTCGGAGTTGTCCGCATGGCGAATATGAGTGTTATCGCGTTGCGATGAGTGGCAGACGCTGGCAAAACGGTTCATTTTGCCACATGCGGAGCACTTTTTCCCGCGTGCGTGGCACTTGGAGCTCTTTGTTGATTGTGATTTGTCCCCACAGTTAAAGCAATGGAAGTCTGGTCCGCGAGCAGTAGTGGGTGGTTTTGTAGCCTTGGATCGACGCTGTGGTTGACGCTTTGGGCGAACACCTTGCACTTGAGCCGTAGCTGTAGTGGTCTGCTGTGGAGTACGGGCGGAGGATCTGATGGCTTTGGAATCAGTAAGTGCTGATTCGATTTGGATAGCCAGTTTAGTGGCTTTGTCCGGTGTTAGTGAGTCATCCTCCATGAGTAGGCGTTCTCTAACGCGAGGAATGGAAGTTTTCTCGATGATCTGATCCCTGATCGTGTCTTCATGCAATGCCCCAAAGTTACAAGCGGCTGCAAGTTCAGTCAAATCTACAACAAATTGCTTGATTAGCTCACCGTTGCCTTGTCCCCGTTGGCGAAATGTGTACCGTTCCATCATGACGCTCTTCTTTGGGCCGAAGTATTTCTCCAAAGCTTTCACAGCTTTATCGTGGGTGTCTGTGTCTTCGAACAGGCTGAAAACACGCTGGCCCTCGTTGCCGAGACGGTGGATCCGTATCGCTCTGCGCCGAGCCAAAGTCACCCTGTCGCAGTCCAAAGCACTCGCAGTGATGTACGTTTCAAAGCTAATTTTCCAACTGGTCAACGAGATTGCAGGATCCCCAGGCGTTTAAAGGAAAGCTGGGGGTGTAGGGAGGTTTATCTGATTCATCCTCGTCGCCAAATTATGTGAGGTTTGTGAAATAAACGGACACAAGATACGAGCTTAAACTGTCGTGTTACTTCATATTGTAATCCGAAAACCAACGTGGATGTCAGAAGCGGCAAGGTTACACTGGGTATGAACAGCGCCCTCATGAGAGCTTAACTGGTACATGTAAACAAGATTAAAGCAAGTTCATACACAACACTCATTCTTACAAAGCTCTGAGTAAGCGGTCTGCTTGACCAGGTAAAGTGACGTGAATGAGGCTTAATGGGCGTACTTCGTGTGGCTGATGTGATGCTCATTTAGTTCAGACTGTGAGCGAATGTCAGGACCTCAGCCTTAGAAAGGACAGTGGCCCTCCCATCCTCCATGCCCAGAGTGAGGCAGGTGCCTCCCTATCAAATTGATGAATGTTTTCAATGTGCAGCACGCTGCACGCCCATCATAGGTACAAACTTGTCTTCTCCTAAAACAAAATCGGTGGTATTGACTTTTGAGAGCAGCCTGATGATATCATACAGTGACTGATCCCAACACGCCGGTCTGGCCTGGATGGACCGATCCAGTAAGCACCGCCCCATGATGTTCTGACCAATCACAGCCGTGATTTATGTCCGACGTGCGTGCACTAAAGTCCGACATGCGTGCACGTGCGTATGATGCGCGCGGAAGGAACATGCAGCGTGGCTGTGGAGAGGAGCACATGTTAATTTGCCCACGTGCGCACTGTCGGTTGAGCTTACTGGATCGGTCTATTGAGGAATTTAGTGCCCTGCATCGTCAGTTCCATCACGTGCTTGAACATTTCGGCAAGGGGCTTCGCTGACTCGTTTGCTAGCACTGAGTTAATAGTATCCCAATCAGGCGATGATATGTCACCATCTGCAGGCCTGCGTTGCTTCAGTAAGCTGGTACATGTGCCATCCAAGCCTCATCCTTTCTTCACCTTGTCAACTTACACATCAAGGGATGGCCTAACTTTGCTTGTTAAGTCAGGGTGCAAAGACGTGAATTTAATTTGGGGGAGGCTGGATCAAGTAAGAGTCAGGTAGCTTTGGAGTTGATGTGTCGGAGAGGTCAAGCTTGATGAGCCCGCCTCACTGCAGGGATTCATGCGAGAAATGGATAATTACGGTTTGGGCATATCACTAGAACTCACCAAATGAGAGGTTGCCCTTAGCCTTGGTTATCTGTAATCAACATCTTAGTCGGTGAAGACAATAAAACGACCTTAGGTTGATAGCACCACCCATCCTCAGCATGGCGGGCACACACCACACGCGCCTGTACATCCTGACAATAACTTAGGACAATTTTCTCGCTCCAATTTAGGATTTTTTCTGTGGTATGTGAAGAGATGTCAAACTTTCCGACATGTAGAGCTAATAAGAAAGAGTTTTTGTGTATGGAATGACGCACCAGAAATACCAGGTTTAACGCAAATGATCTCGAGTGGTAAACTTGACCTCAAATCATTAAAGTAACATCAGAATCAGATATTTCAACGTGGCGGCCATACGGTGGCGGCCATATTGTTTTTCCCAATATGGCGGCCCCTAGGGCATCTGTCTTGCCTCGAATCATTAAAATGACGTCAGATTCAGATTCTGTGATCCCCAAAACCCATTAAAGGTGGTATTATTTAAGAATTTAGCTCGTTGTTTATTTATCTGTGAAATATGTGGCGGCCATTTTGGATTTTGCCGATATGGCGGTCCCTTGGGCGTCTCTCTTGCATTAAATCGGTAAAATAACATCAGATTCAGATTGCTTGAACCCGAAAATACCTGAAAAGTGGTATTATTTATGATTCTAGCTCATTTAGTTTAGTTGACCTATGACCCGGTTAGCGGCCTTATTGGATTTTGCCAATATGGCGTCTTGGCGCCCGTCAAAAATCAAAATATTACCATCGAGGATACAACCAGATTATACAATTTTCAACTTCAAAAATACAGGCGATACCTTTCCAGGAGGCAGTAGTCAGACATCTTCCACAGCAAGCTTCCATCGAGGACGCAGACAGACGCTCCCGTGTGAGTGCGCGTCTCAGACACCAGACGCGCCGATCTCCGTAGTGTATTGGTCAACGGGAGAAGGCGTCACTGCAGATACACGGATCATTGGTGCACGTTTCTCTGATGGCACTACCCTGAGGGTTGAACACGGTGCCGATTACAGCATTGGCAGCGACGTTTCCCTTCTAGTTAACTCCCTCCATGATGTACAAGACACACAGAGATTCTGGTGTCACGTGTTCCAATCAGATGGTAATCTCAGAAATTGCGACATCGATGTCCAGATATCAGGTAGTGCAAATTGATTCAGTGCCTAAAAGCAATTGCCAAAATAATGGTGCTTTTGAAAAATTGTGTTGTTCACACGTTTAAATAAATAAATGCATATTTAACTATCAGTCAGTGTCAAACAACAAGAGCTAATAGTCTAGTTCCTAGTTTCAGTTGCGCACCTATGTTATTGTCTTCCAATGATGGCGGAGCACGTTTTTATCACACTTGTTTCCATATTCAGGAAGATAGGTTGCTCTGACAGAAATGAGTGCATTATTTTTCTGATTACTTTCTTTTAAATGTAGATCAAGAGCCACCCAATCACGCCCTCAAGGCATCTTTTACATCGTTCTACCTTCTTGAGGGTGAAGAGCAGACACTTCCATGCTCGAGCTGGACCCCCGATGTCACAACCTGTGAGGTACAGTGGTTCAAGATCGACAGGGCAGGTCAACACCTTCTACTGTCTAGCAACGACGTCGAAGCTGAATCGGAATACGAACCCGCCAGCGATTTTGGCCTGATCATCAAATCAGTTGATTACGAAGATGCTGGAAGATACAGATGTGATACAGGCGGAGGAATCAGTGAGGATGATATTGATGTTAGAGTAATAGGTACATCATTTTGCCTTTTTAATTTGAATAATCCATCAACATTTTCGAATTTAACTGATAAATGTTTGACTAACTCTCAAAACATTCAGTAATCGTTGGTAAAATGTTTTTTTTTTGTCATCAAGGTGGCTCGTCATACAGGTATTTGTTATAGGTTCTTTCATTAAACCACAGATTTTACATTTTTCTTTCTTCAACACTGGAATTATTCAGATGCGAAATTCCCATTGGACGGAGGAACGATTGTTGGAAGCTCGAGAATCGACTTCGAAACTGGGACAAGTTACACACTTCCTTGTCAAGCTTTTTTGAAGTATAAGATCGGAAGTCCTGCAACTGTGTTCTGGTCTTTTGCCAATCCTGACAATCTTACGACCACGACCGTGATCGGGAGGCTAAACCTACCAGGTAGCTCCAAAACGAGGTTTGATCTTGGAAACATAAACTGTTTCTCCATTTCTAAAGAGGGCGCACTTCTTCTACACACGTGCTTTCCAGTAGATGACGTCAGGTACTGGTGTCACGTCTTCCCTGAGAACAAATTGCTAATGAGATCCTATGTGGATGTACTAATCAAAGGTGAGCATTAAACTTTCGGGTATACCAACTTGCCTCGATTCCTTGACTTATTGCTGCACCCTCGCAAATTATTGGGAATTTTCGGAATGTTTTGTTCAAAATAAATTCCCTATCGCTTTTTTTCATACAAGCCGGAGTACACAACAGTCAAAGTAATATGAATCCTCGTCTTTACGTGGCTGATTAGCATGAAGTTGAGTGATTTCTCCTTACTCTCATCAGTTTTAAACAGTTTTTTTATTTTTTTTTACATCGTTTGAATGATAAAAAGTAAAAAAAAAACAAAGCTTTAAAATACCATTTTGATCACTTTGATATATTGCATCTCGTGGTAAATTTAGAGCAAACAACTGATATAGGTCTTATTTCTGTATTTTGCCAAACCTGTTTATTTCCATGTGTTAGACAAAAATATGAAAGGGAGGGGCAAAATATGTTCCCCATTCCAATACACTACAAGAACCTGCTGGGTTACATTGACCCACAATCTGAATTTAAATGCTTTACTCTTTTCCAGGTCACAAATGACACTTTTTCTGGTCAAAATTACATTTTCATTGGTTTTTGTGACCCGGTTATTGTTTAAGTAACCATTCGCTGGAACATCACGCCATAGTGCACAGTCTGGTTTTTTTTTATCAGTTTAATTTCTCAAAAGGATTTTGGTAAAAATAGTTCATATTCCACAAGTTCATTATTCAAACATAACCAAATAACACTTTCAGTATCCCTTCAACAAGCTCAACTATTGACCCTGAAAATCCATGTCAAACGCTTAAACGGAGATTAATGTAGCATAGCCTCCCCTCTTTTACTATTTAATTGTTTTTCTTACAATATGCGTTTTTTAGTTTTTCCCCTCGTTTTTATTGTTATATTGCTGTGTTTTTGTTTTGTTTTTCAATTTGCATCAGCTTGGTTCCTAATGTGACATTACAACGGTTTTTTGGTTCTTGTGATTGCGTTGTTTAGTTTGTCCAAGCTGTACCACCTACAAGCCTTGGCTTTATATGTGAACGGCCTTGTACTCTCTAACATTACTCTAACTACTCTTTAATTTCTCTATCTATTGACTATAATTCAATTAATAGGTTTCAAAGTATTATTTTGTTACTGGTGGTACTTTCTTTTCGTTTTTCGTTTTTCTTTGCTTAAATATCACTGTATTAGGCTTTATTATCCCACTTTGAATTGATTTACTGGAGAGTTCAAAACATGTCTACAATTGAATTGAATTAAAATAAATTGAATTGAATTAAAACAACTCATTGTATCGATTATATCTAGAGCCTCAGCCTGCAGCTGTTGAGGGACGATCCAGTACCTTCTATATTATCATCTCTGTGTGTTGTTGCATCGCGTTGATTGTTGTCGGGGTCTGTGTTGTCAGGATCTTTGTGCTTCGGAAAAGACGTCGAAAAAATATATATTCACCTGTGCCTGTGACAAGTGAGTATAATAGGTCATTTTTCGAGCAAAAGGGGGCGCTATAGCAACGCTGGATCATAAACACAGGGTTGTGTGGTAGGTGCACTTCAATCTAAATAAAACGATTATTACAGATTGTAAAGTGCAAGTTTCGACGTGTAGCAACGTGTAAATTCACGTCAATTACTCTAGATTTGCATCGTTGAAGCGCCCTCATTCGAGCAGATTCTGTTCTCAAGCTAATAGACCAAGACTAAACGAAAAACGTCGGGCCTTTGTCAGCTGGAGCCGTATGAATTAAAACGGACAACATTTAACATGAATATGTTTTTTATGGAAGAAAAGACAGGAAAATGGGATGTCATCCCGCATGACTTGCAGGAAAAAACACAAATGTAAACTTCATTTAATCTTAAGCCGATAGCAACAATAAACAATCTGGATTCCAAACAACATTCCGCTAAGAAAAAAGAAGTCAACAAGCAAAGCGAGAAAACGAGGAACAAAATCAGCAGCAAAGGCGGTAAAAAGTTCACTTACTGCAGCGATTTATTAAATACCTTTACATGTATATAGATTTCCTCATTTTAATTAACTTAAAATGCGCAGAAAAGAAGTATCCAACTACGTTTTAGAAAAGTGAAAGGCTTGTAAGAATGATACATTCTCAGAGGGGCAGCGGCGTATCCAGCTTTTGATGTGTGTGTGTGTGGGGGGGGGGGGCAAAATTAAAATCAAAAGAAGGGCTTTTCAGCATTTGGTGTCGGGGCGGGAAGGGGATCAAAAGCTTTAGTGAAATGTGTTTTTTCGGCTCGGTTTTTTTTTATTTCGCGTTCGTGTCAGACCTCTCTATACCATTTATGGAAATAGTTACGGGTAATAAAACAAATTTAAGATTAAAATCCGCCCCCACTGGATAACGTTAACCCTAAAGGGGCCATCTCTCAGCCGGGGGGGGGGGCGGATTCGGCCCCCCCCTAAGATCTCGGCCATCGAGTGACGATAAATTTTGAAACTCGATACGTGCATAGAGCAACTCTTCCTTGACATACCCAAGAAATTTCATGACTATAGGTCAAAGGGTTTTGGAATTATGGCTAATTAATTATTCATATGTACGAATGGCAATTCTGCTCTGTGTACACGACGTATATGCGAAAATTCAGTTTTCACGGCGCGTAGCGCCGGAAAATTTTTCGCTACGCGGCAACCCTTGGTCCGATTTTTATGTTTTTGGTATCAAAAGATGCGCAAAGCTCGAGGCTAAAAGTCATAACAGGCTATCACGGAAAATGTTGAGGGGGGGGGGGCGGATTCCGCCCCCCGGCCCTTTTAGGGTTAAGGGGGTGGGGGAAGGTTTATGAGTTCTTGTTTTTTTAGGGATGGTCGGTTGTTTGATGTCTTATACTCACTTTGATTGATTTTGACCTTGTAGTGACGGGCATACAGATGGAGCCGGTGCTTATTTCGAATGCTCCAGATGAACAAACAACGAACGAGGAACAGCAACAAGATCAGCAGCAAACGGGTATACGTTCATGTAACTGCAACAACTTAATGGTATTGTTGGCAATTGTTTACGAGCATATAGGCCCTATATAAAAAAAATTAAATATGAATTCCAAAATAATACGGAGAGCAGAAGTATCTTACTACGTTTTAGAAGAGTGAAAAGCTATAACAGTGATAACTTCTCAGTGGGGGTTGGGTGGGAGAAGGTTTGCGAGTTTTTTGGGGTTTTTTTTCTAGGGATGCATGGTTCGGTTATTTGATATCTTATAGCGTTGATTGATTTTCACCTTGTAGTGACGGACATACAGACCGAGCCGGAGACTAGTTCGAATACCCCAGATGAAGAAACAACGAGCGAAAGACAGCAACAAGATCAGCAGCAAATGAGTAATACGCTGATTCAACTGCAACGACTTAATTTTTTGTTGGCAAATGTTACGCGCAAATATGCCTAGATTTTTGCAATACACAAGAAAATAATATCATTATAAACAACGTTCGCTAAAAAGAAATGATTCAACTAGTGAAGAAAGAAAACTAGGAAAAACATCAGCAGCAAAGGCGTATAATTCCCTTACTGCAGCGATTTATTCAACACATACATATATTTCCTAATTTTGATTTCAAATACGCAGAGCAGAAGTATCTTACTACGTTTTAGAAGAGTGAAAGGCTATAACAGTGATAACTTCTTAGTGGGGGTAGGGTGGGAAAAGGTTTGCGAATTATTGTTTTTGGGCTGTTTGTAGCAAAGATTCGGTTCTTTGATGTCTTATAGTATTGACTTTTTTTCCTTGTAGTGACGGACATACAGATCGAGCCGGAGCCTATTTCGAATGCTCCTGATGAACAAACATCGAGCGAGGAACAGCAGCAAGATCAGCAGCAAACAGGTACACGTGCATTTAACTGCAACGACTCAATATTATTGTTGGCAATTGTTACGCGCATATAGGCCAAGCTTTTGCCATACATAAACAAAATAATATGGATTCTAAACAACGTTCTTCAACACATATATATTCTCATCTTCATTTTAAATTATCAGAACAGAAGTATCTTACTACGTTTTAGAAGAATAAAAGGCTCTGATGTGGATCCCAAAATAATACGAAGAGCAGAAGTATCTTACTACGCTTTAAAAGAGTGAAAGGCTATAACAGTGATAACTTCTCAGTGGGGGATGGGTGGTAGAAAGTTTGCGAGTTTTTTTTTAGGGGTGGCTCGGCTGTTTGATGTCTGATAGCGTTGATTGATTTTTTACCTTGTAGTGACGGGCATACAGATCGAGCCGGAGACTAGTTCGAACGCTCCTGATGAACAAACATCAAGCGAGGAACAGCAACAAGATCAGCAGCAAATGAGTAATACGTTCATTTAACTGCAACAACTTATTATTATTGTTGGCAATTGTTACGCGCATAAAGGCCAAGCTTTTGCCAAACATTAAAAAAAAATATGGATTCTAAACAACGTTCTTCAACATGTATATATATATATATTGTCTCATCTTCAACAGTAGTATCTTACTACGTTTTAGAAGAATGAAAGGCTATAACATTGATAACTTTTCAAAGGGGGTAGGGTGTGAGAAGGTTCGTGAGATTTGTTTTTAGGAAAGATTGAAGTTTAGATATGGTTGTTGTTATTTGATGTCTTATAGTATTGATTGATTTTTACCTTGTAGTGATGGGCACACAGACCGACCAGGAAAGTAATCCAAATGCTTCAGAAGAACAAACTTCGAGCAAGGCACAGCAACATCGTTTGCAAATGGGTAATACGTTCATTTAACTGCAACGACTTAATATTACCGATGGTACAACCATTGCCAAACATACTTTTATGCCCCGATGTCTTGCATGTCAAGATATCGTCAACGTGAAGATGCCCCTTGCTCCTTAAAAAGTAAAAAGATCAACAGTGAAAAAGAAATCGTCTTAGTCCCTTTCAATCAATTATTTCGTTACATCTTGTTTCCCTTATATCATTTAATTTGTAACATTGTAAATTTTACAATCATCAAGATTTATTTTTTTTCCGGGGGGGGATATGAATCTCGGAGGAAAATTAAAAAATATATCGATAATTTTTTTTCCTAATTTAAACAACCAAACGATAAAAGCGATTGTCCAAAAACGAAAAAGAAACAAAAAGCATGGTAATACGTCATAGGCGCATGGATGTTCGCTAATTTGAATGCGTCAAGTGGCAAAAGGTTGCGAAGATTTAATTTAAGACTGCTACAACATAAGTCTTCAATTCACCAAAACAAAATATGATGCCCGAAAATAAAAACGAACATTCGGAGCAAAATCTTGCCTGCCTAAAAATGAAATTGAATGAACCCAAGATGAAAAAGAAACCCCACTTTGACCACGTGCAAAACTCACGCGAAATTGAATGGCTGATAATGAAACTGATTAGAAAAATTTGGGAATTCGCCAGGAAGACCTATATTATCACTGGCACGTTTAACGTGCATATCAGCCTAGATTTTGGTCATTTTACACAATACACAGAGTATATGGAGATGTACAACAAGGAAAATGATCCTATCAAGTTCTTTGTAGTTGGGTTGGAAAGTTTGTCAGTGTCAGTGTTTGCGTTGATATCTTGACCCGACTGTCAGATGCATCATAATCTTCTGATCATTGATTTCATGCAGAGAGACTGCAGGACAAACTGGATATTGCGATGAGTTCTTTAGAAGAAATCGCATTACACTACGTGATATCTAGGCAGAATACGATCAACAGGCTGTGTGAACTTGTTGACAGCTGCACAAAAGTTTACAGACAGGCCCAACAAACCAAGGTAATTAAACTATTAAGGAAAGCAATTGGCCGCATTTTTGGGCAAATAGGGGCAGCGTAATGACGTCATTTCGCGGGTAAAAAAGATGGAAAATCCCCTTCATTGAAGCAGTTTATTATCTTAACATCAGTCTAAAAAAATAACGGTTGTGAAATAGTAATTGTGAACAGCGGCAATTAAGTAACATACGCCAATAATCTTCGATTCGCGCCTTCATGACCAGGCTCGAATTACGCCGTTCAACGCAAAGAACAAGGGCAAATGTTATAACCTTTTAATGTTCCCTCAAAAGACCCAAGCATTCGCACACAAGATTTGCTGATGTGCATACTGGACGATTTATGGATACCAATCTATCACTCGACTGTTTGTCTTAAAAAAAGAAAAATCCAAAATTACATTCTTCCGTCTGTTTTCTGCATGGTACCAAATTAAATCAAGAATCGTTGTTTTCTTACTATGGAATAGCGAGGAAACACATCTTCGGTATCACAGATTAATACAGACACAAAATTATCCTTATTTAGGTTACCGGTGGTGCAGTCGGGCTGCCTGGTACTGTGATGACAATCGCTAGTGTCGTGGCTGCGCCCTTCACAGCAGGCGGTTCCCTCGCTCTCACAGCCGCCGGTGCTGCTGCAGGAGTTGCGGGTGGGATTGCAGCAGCAGGTACAATAAAAGAAAACAGTTCCACTAAGAAAACAGAGAAAAAGTTTAAAAATATACTAGCTGATGACCATGAAGCTTACACAAACGTTAAACGTCGTCTAGAGGAGATTGATACTATCTTAAATAAATTGAGCGCAGGTGGTATCGCAGCTGCTAAAACAACTACTACCATTCACACGACAGCTGCAATCGGACAATCGGCTGACAATGCAGCCTCTACTGCTCGAAAAGTAATGGCTGTTATTCCCATGTCAAACGACATTTACACTATAAATGAATCGTCTTTGAACTTGCAAGGTGAGAATGTACCAGCACTTGTTCAGAAAATGGAACAGATAATAAACGAAATGGAATACCCATCGGAAGAAGAAGTGCACAATTATATACAAGAACTCAGATTGAAGGTAAAGCTAAACCATGGCTAAACTGAGCACAAAGAAATGTGAAATAATCGATGTACCGTCTGATCATGGGGGATGTTTGAAATGTGATTTTCGTTGTCGAAATTGTAAAACGTGATTTTAATAAGCGAACTGTGCCATGACTCAAAATGGTCTATTAAAACTTGCGAGTAATGCCTTGAATTTTGGGCAAACTTGCAGTTCACAGAGATGGGGCCAATAATTAGGACGCGGGGAGCCTGCGTAAAATTGGACAAATCTTCTTAAAAAAAAAAAGATTTTGTGTAGATTGTTTAATTTTGGTGTTAATTTTGGAAAATAGCGGTTATTTCCATTGTTACGTTAAAAAGTGTAAACCCGCAGTAACAGGACCGTTTTCAAACTTAAATGAAAGATATCTCAATTTACAACATAAACAAAGCTGTACATGTACAGGATTCGTCATGGGGTAGAAAACTCAATAGAACCAATAAGGAGGTCGTTAGAAGTCAATCTACCCCATAAGGGAAACGCTCTGGAGTTCTGAGATTTCAATAGGACAAAGGAAAACAAAAGAAGGGAAATAAAATTCTTCCCCATAAGTGTGTGTTATGTGTAAGGCCATTTTTACTCTAACCTTACATACTCGTTTTGGACCTGGGAACAAAAGAGGTCCACATGCAGGACGCCTTGTGGACTTGCACACGTTTCCCCCTTTTTTTGAAAAACAGGCTTAGGGGCATTTTCGGTTAGGTTCATCCGTCGCAAAAAGGAAGAGGAACACACAAGAGAATCATCATGATTACAACAAAATTAGGTTGAAAAGAGTGTTCACAGTGCAAGTAAAATGAGTTTTTTTTCTTCGGTTTTTCTCAACTACCCGAATACAAAGGAATGTCCACAAGAAGGTATATGTAAGATAAGGCTGTGTGTTTAGGTTTGTTTTAACATTCAATAGGGAACATTGAACAATAGAGGACAATGGGGTCCATAATTCCCGAAGGTCCACGATTGACGATCGTGTACAAAACATGCAGGAAGTTTTTCTAAAAAGTTGAAGTGCAAACAAAAGAGGGACATTAGGGGGTCCACGATTGAAGGTGTTTACAATCTATGGCTCTACGGTAGAAGACAGACACACAAAGGGAGAACTAAAGAGCCTTTCAGTCCTCGAGCGTTGGGTATTTTTTTGAAAACGGTCCTCGATCATACACTTATATGCATGGGCTATGGGAGAGAGTTATATTAAGGGGACAAAGGGAAACCCAAAGCATTTCCTCGAGCGTATTGAAATTCACGACTGTGTGCTGCGGACCATGTGTATGTTTAGATTTTCGAATCAAGTGTTTTCACGTTGATCGCATCTTGACATCTTTCATTTCTACTGTAGAAAAAAAGTAGTTGACACTAAACACGAATATAAATAATATTTTGAAAACCTAAGCTCTTTGCGAAATACATAAAAAAAAGTATCCTAAGGCCAAAAAAGTATCCAGTTAAAGGTATAGAGCTTGCCCAAAAGTGGTGCTGCGGCGCGGTGTTTTTCGCCCTACTTGTTTTTCTTCAAATGTCAGCTGATGTTGCAGATGACGCTTCGATCCCCTTAAAACTCTCAAAAATATCCTTTTTAGTGGAGCTTGAGGTGACCTCAGTAAGGCTATAAGGCTTGAGAAATTTGCACCCACTGGCGATCTCCACCGACACAAACTTTCTTCGGGAAATTTGGATAGTCAAGACAAAAATCAGAGAAAACGGTAACATCAGACCATACAGCGACATCGTGCATATGCTGCCAGGCTGGTCATTAGTCTGTTCAATTACACATTGCGATAATTAAAAGCGTTTACAGGTTCCAGATACACGACCGTCGTTTCCTCAGTCTGGCTTCCAGACGTACAATTACAAGATTACAACACCGTCTGCAAAAGGTGCCCGACTAAATTTAGTGCAAAATACATGGGAGCCCAGTGAGGCCACATGAAGCTTATACTTAATTTCTTCTAAAAACACGTTAAACTTGTGCAGCAGCAGGATTCCTGTCAAACCAGTGAGTTTGGCAGTTATGAGACATCATCTTACATTGAAAAAAAAAAACTTTTGAGATTGCTTTGTGGCCTTAATCTAAACAATCAAGTTGCGTAAACTTCCGGTTCCAATGGTTCCCGTGCATTTCCAACTCCATTTTACAATGCTAATAAATGTGCAGTGGGTGTGGTTTAAACTGAAGTGACGTCACACTTACAAACCGGTCTTTTTATTCTATATCTATGGATGGTGTGCATGCAATCTTCGAAATGATACGCGCAGTACATTCTCCATGCACGCAGTGCATGGGGTCGAGGCTGCAGCACACATTACAAGTACACACAATGTACGTATGTACATTTATTCATTACGGGACATTAATTCCTTTACAATTAGTTCGGGAAAAACAAAATCTAAATCCACCGTTGCAGAAAAGGCTTCATTTTATTTACAGTAGACATACACTTGTACATATTGCACCATAATACTGTAACGGGAACTTTTTGGGCTCTTCTCCACCGAGTCCGGCCAAACGCAGGAAAAGGGGACAACCACACAGGATTTCCAACACTTACTCGGCTTTAACTTTGTGATCAACCTGCCACACTGCTACCAGTATCACGACTGCTGATTCCCAGCATAGAAAAACACACAGTCTGAACAAATGTATACAATTGTAACAACTTGCAATGACCCCGGCATCTTGCCAAACTTTTCCCGCGTCCCCCAACAAAAGAAACTAACTGAAGAAATTTTTTTATAGAGCCTATTTCCGGACTGGGCGCCATCCAGACCCAAAACCAGATCGGGTGCGCGCCGCCGGAGCCTCTACGCCGGAGCCCTAGCACAAGAAAGCAATGACAACAAAAGTGCCGAATAAACTGTCCGTTACAATGCCCCCTCCCAAGAATTTGTATATTTTCCTGAATAGGGGCACAATTACAACAAATGTTACGTGAACTGATATTTACAATTTTCCAAAACGCCCCCCCCCCCATATATAATGAACAAAACGCTCATTTCTATTTTTTAAACAGGGTTTACATGACTAACACACTTTTTGAATCGAAGAAACTTATTTTTTTCAAGTTATGTTTACAAGATTCAAAAAGTTATCAAAAAGAATTTACTTTACATAGGTTTAACATTACTTTTTTCTGGAACAAGAATCACAAGAGTTCACTGTCTATGATATATTAATTTTTTCCGGGATGTTTTCAGGAATGATGGTTAATGATGATTTAGGCCCCACTCTGGTCGTCAAATCAAACAAAAACACAACAATCGGCGAGGACTAACTCGTCGGTCCCCGATGCTGGGCCCTCATGTGCCGGGTCAAGTAGTCCGACCGTCCGTAGAGCTTCGATCGGGCATTCCCGCCACTGGTAACTCCGTTCTTCATGCGCCGCTTTTTCATGCCTCCTCCGAGTAAACGAGGAGACATACTGCTGACCGCAGACCCTGCATATGTACGTTGCCTTGCCATCCACCGGCTGACTGTCATCGTCTTTCATCGTCTTTCACCGTCGCTGACTTGTCGCAAACATCCCCGGCGTCTTCGGGCGGCCCTGCAACGGCGGTTGCGGGGTGAGCTGCTGTCTTGTGTCGCATGGTGTCCAACGGCGGCAGTTGGACTGCCAACTTCGGCGGCAGGACTACCTGATCCAACCTGATTATCTGTCCTTGCCCCAGCGCTGGTTCTGCAGTAACCGCCGGTTGAGTGACCCTCGGCAAAGGGGAATCTACCGAACCCAGTGGTTAGGTAGTAGGCACCGACAGTGGGGATTCCCGTACCGTTGGTTCGGGAGTCCGTTGTAGCGGAACTCTGTGCTTACCGGCAACAAATCACTCTTCGTCCCACATCAGCTGGCATTTATGCTGTCGCAAAAAGTTCAGTCCCAGAATGGCATCTAAGCTGATGTCTGCGACCAATACGCTGTGTAGCATCTCGCTTCTTCCCGTCTTAATTAGCATCTTCGCACGTCCAGCGATGCGCAGCTCACTCCCACCCGCGTAATTGGCGGAACCTGCGATCTGCGTCGAGTAGCACGGGTCTTAACTTCGTGTCTGTCCTGTTATACAGCCGAGTGGAAACAAACATCCTCGTGGCTCGTGTCAATCAAGAAACTAATTGCCGTGTCCATTATTTCCCCTCGGATGTAAAGTCCCAACTCTTGAGAAGAAGCAGGTCGTTTTTTCAAGCCAGACTTCGGCGGGACTGCCTGCACCTACGGCGAGGCTGCCTGCGCCGGCGGTGAGGCTGTCCGTGCCGTAGGAGAGACTGCCTGCGCCGGCGCCGGGGCTGTCCGTGCTGGCGGCAGGACTGCCTGCACCGGCGGGGAGGCTGCCTGACTCATGCTGGTCTTCAGTGCGCACCGTGCTCGGAGATGCTCCAGACTCCCGCACTTCCTGCAACCTGCCTTCCATTCCTTGGGTTTTCTCTATACTAGGCTGCGGAGCTCCCGCAGAATATCGACAGTATCTGGTTAGTGGCCGTTGAACTAAGGGTTTCCTCCTTTCAGTCCAAGGAAAGACTGCACGCGACCGCCCAACTTGCTCTGTCTTGCCTTACGCCTGTTCTTCGGCAGCGGTTTTCACTGTTTCATCTAGGGTCGAGGGCTTTCTCCGATCAACATGCACCAAGTAATCCTTCATGTACGGTGACCCATCGTACTCCCGAGCTCTGACAGGCAGCGCCGCTCCAGTGCGTTCCACGTTAACGTGCTGGCCCCGGTAGGACTCTTCGGGGATTGACGGCAACTAACGTCAGGGAGACGCTCCCCTTCGCTGTCTGACTCACTGCACCCCGCCCGCCACTGTGCCTGAAGATTACCCACTACACTGTACGACTTTCTCCGCCGACCGGTATCGTCCCTAGTCGACAGGTTCGGCATCTCTGTACAAAATCCCACTGCTGCCACTAATTGTAACGGGAACTTACGGGCTCTTGTCCACCGAGTCGGGCCAAACGCAAACAAAGCGGACAACCACACAGGATTTCCAACTTCTGAAGAAAGTGTCATTCAGCTTCTGAACTCTGTGGTCAATCTGCCACACTGCTACCAGTACCATGACTGCTGATTCCCAGCATAGAAAAACACACAGTCTAAACAAATGTATACAATTGTAACAACTTGCAATGACCCCGGCATCTTGCCAAACCTTTCCCGCGTCCCCCAACAAAAGAACCCCACCGACGCAACCTATTTATAGAGCCTATTGCCGGAGTGCGCACCCTCCAGAACCAAAACCAGGTCGGGTGCGCGCCGCCGGAGCCCCTCTGCCGGAACCCTAGCACACGAAAGCAATGCCAAATAAAAGTGCTGAATAAACTGTCCGTTACAATACGCTTACTTGTCATCGTCTTGTCAACAGTATAATGGAGTATATAATAGTTAAAGTTAGATATTAATAGTAGGTTGTACTTATCATAATCAACATGAAGAGTAAATATCTAAAATGTGTATAATTGTATCAGTAATGTTAGGGCCAAGTCACACGAGGTACGTTTATAGTTAATTTGAATGCAACCGAAATGAAAAGCAAAAGGAGCTCTCGTTTTATTTTCCAACGGTTTTATTGAAGTTCCTTAAAGCTTGCATGCTTTACACGGAATGAAAATATGCCAATCCTTTCCTATATGAATATTGCCTAAAACAAGTTGCATAATTGAAATTTGTACACATTTAAGATGTAGTAAGCTGTGTTATCATAAGATAAATGAAACTCAAATCTATAAACTTTTAAAATAAAGACAATGTCTGTGCGTGTACACTTTTCTCAGATATTCGATATTCATGGGCACGTTTAATGGAGATAAATGCATTTTTGTGTCTCCACTAGTCTAGCAAACAATCTTGTCGCGATGTTTGTACACAGGCGTTTTTTTGCTACATTCATGTAGTTGAAGCTACATATTTAATATAATGTTTATTTAGTTAATTGCATTGGTGTATTTACAATCATTTATTTGGTGATAAAAGTGTAATTGTCATATACTTTTATTTAGTTGGTACTGCATAAATGTTGCTTTTAACTAACTGTTTCTTACACTTTTACCAGATATTCGATTTCCACGTGCTCGTTTATTGGAGATTTTTGCATTTTTGTGTCTCCACTAGTCAAGTAAACAGTTTTGTCGCTATGTTTATACACATGCGTTTTCTTGCTACATACATGTAGTTGTAGCTACATATTTTCAAATCAACGTTTATTTAGTAAATTGGATTGTCGTGTTCACAATCATTTATTTGGTGATACAAATGGTACATGTCATTATGGATGACGATATTTTTATTTAGGTGCTACTACGTACATGTTGCTTTTAACTACCTGTATCTAAGTGTAAGTGTTGGTATCATTATTTTGGCAACAATGATCCAAAAGTTGAAAGTATCATGTCAGGTTATGACTTTAAACCGCTTGTAATTTGATATTTGATGACGTCAACATGTTTTGTCACACATTTGGACATGGTTGCATGCTTGTACAAAGTTTCATAGTAATTCTTTGACCGTTTGGAAGAAATTCCGTTTAATGTTCATGTTTCTTTCGGTATCATGATTTTGAACTCGGTTACTTTGACCTTCCGTTAACACCGGAAGTAAAGGTCAAGCGACTTGCATGTACACCTGAAATAGTAATCAAGGCATGGCACTTTCATCATAAAGTGTGAACATTCTTTTTTTTGGTTCAAGAATTATGACTGAGACAAAACAGTCACTTTTTGAATTTCAATCGCTTGTAATTTGATACATGATGACGTCATTATGACTTCACACTTGTGTGCCCACCTTGGTATCAGGATTGATGTTCTAACTAATTTTGTAGTTCATGCGTTGTTCTGTTATGAAGGAAAGCTGCAGAGAATTGATTGAATCGAGCACGAACACAAACACGAAAAAAGAACGTATAAACAAAACCAAAGGGTGATATGATTGGGATTCCCCCTAACCTTATTATGAAATGATTGGTACCGAGATTTGTTGGCTTTAATTTAAATATTTAATTCATTTGTATACATTTGTGTACTGGCATAACATTTTAATGTATTAACTCTGATTACAAATTAACAAGTAATGCATGGGTATCTACTCAATCAAACCACGTTTACTTTACTTTTATTTCTTTTCTTTGCATTACCTGTTGTAATAGCCTTAGTTCGCATTAAAATCACCGCTATGATACAAGTGTTTTGCTTATGTATGATGACTAAGTTGCGAATTCAAATTAACCCTAAAGGGGCCGGGGACATTTTCCGCGATAGCCTCTAAAAAAATTTTTTTCGCGACCCGAGCTGTTATGACTTTTATAGCCTCGAGCTTTGCGCATCTTTTGATACCAAAAACATAAAAATCGGACCATGGGTTGGCACGTAGCAAAAAAATTTCCCATATACGTCGTGTACACCGAGCAGAATTGCCATTCATACATATGAATAATTAATTACCCATAATTCCAAAACCCTTTGACCTATAGTAATGAAATTTCTTGGGCATGTTGAGGAAGAGTTGCTCTATGCATGTGCATGTGCATCGTCACTCGATGGCCGAGATCTTAGTCATCGTCGGTTGCCCAAGCCAGTCCGCCACGCCACCTTAGTTACAAAGAAATCCCAAGCCCCAAAGCTTCAAATGAAAGAAAAAATAAGAAGGACGACACGACATAACACGAAACGACATGATATGATTTGACTTCAACTCCTTGTTGAAGTTGTCCAGGGACATCTGCATCCCTAATTCCCTGTCGGTACAACCAGTGGCGCACCCAAGGGGGGGGGTGTTGGGCTCGCAGGGCTTTTTTGTGAAATTTGACTTTGGTGATAGGTATGTGGCCTATTTTCCAGTAGTATAATAGGCGTGTAAGTGGCGTCAAAATTGTCCGTCTCTCCCCCCCCAAAAAAAAAAATGCGTCCAAAAAGTTAACGCAAAGGTTTTTGAAAAAAAAAATACTTCTAAAAAATTCTTTAAAAAATAATGTCTAAAATAAAAATTGTGAGCCCCCCCCAAAAAAAAAATCATGGCTGCGCCAATGGGTACACCACGCCTACTGGGCCTCACCTGATACCCATAGCTGGATGGTTCCTCCCCACAACTTAACGTTCTTACACTTGGCCTTCGGATATTAGTTGCAGGAAGTCGAGGCAAAGTAGAGAACTGCCAAAGGGGAGAAACAGTTGTGGGTGTATCAGTGTCACTGTTGACATGCTTTATGACATTTATGGAACACTTTATGGGAGTTGGCATTGTGGCAGGAAAACGCGATGACGAGAACTTTTGAACGATGACTAATGTCTCCA